TTCCAGATTTAGAGCGAGTTTTCAGTTTCGGTATCTAATGGCTGCTTCTCCCGTGAAAATGCACCGATTGACCCCAAACTCCCAAAGATGAAAGGAGTCCCCAATGGTAACCCCTCATTATAACAGGAGAGCTTAGGGCTGTGTAGTTTCCTAAAATTAGCACAAACAAATATTTTTTTACAGAAAATTCCCATTTTTAGAAAATTTTGGCTTGTTTGACCTTGAAAAAAAGGTTAAAAGTCAAATCCAAGGGCATATTTGGAATCTCCACATATGACTTTCGGTCAGACTTCTGTAGTAATTTTTCCCATAATTCCTTTGGTTTGGGAGATATTAAGCATTGAATTTTCAAAAATTTTGACAAGGGTGCGTTTCAACAAGTGTCATGCCCAGGCCAGTGCACCGATGGAGACAAAAAAACCAGGGTGTTCAAGTTGAGATTATATGTGACCTAAATCCAAGAGATGGGGACACAGGTCCTTGCGGTCTAGGAGGAGAAGTGGTAACGGTGACTTGTTTCCGGCGCCCGACTGCGGAGCCGCAGGAGCCGGCGGAGCCGCAGGAGCCGGCGGAGCCGCAGGAGCTGTACGAGACGGGTCGGGACTAAAACCATGAGTACCGCCAGCGTACACGCTGGTGGTACTAATTAAAATTGGGCCAAATTCTATCTGCCTTGTCATTTTATAGATATGTTAAACATGTCTGTGGTACAGTTTGCCACACCTGTTCAGTGCTCTTAAAATCCCCTCTCTCTCCACCACATCCTCAGTTTCCCTGAGTCCTGCAGTATCACTCAGCAGCACAGGAAAGCCACCTATATTCAGAGCTGTTTCCACCACGTCTCTGGTGGTACCTGCTGTAGGAGATATGATTGCTGCTGGGCGCTGACCTGAGCAAGTAAAACATGTCACACCTCAACTAAGACTAATCATATACATCACATTATATCAAGCTCATGCAGGAGTAAATTGCATTAAATAATAATAGGAGATTGGTTTTGTTAATAATTATAATAAACTATGCAAAAAATTTGGATAGAGTGGTAATAACAATTTTTATTTAATATTTCAGTAAATGTTTTTTGAGATATTACTCCAAATTTAATTATTTTCTTTAACCAACCTTTGGTTCTTTGTCCAAGAATAATCTTATTTACAAAACAAGCTTCAAAACCAGCAAGTTTTAAGCATTTTAATTATGTGACCAATGACAATGAATAAAATACCAGTGCACTTACATAAATGATTTAGCAAACTACTCTTTCCAACATTGGGAGGTCCTACAATAACGACATGTGCACCAGTACGTAACCGCTCCCCTCTGCGGTTATCTGACAGATGATTCACAATTTCTTTCTTAAGTTTTTGGACATTAACTTGTGCTGCAAAAAGGTGTTCAATTAAAACAATATCTAAGTTGACATCGCCTTAATTCTGTAATAAATGTCCCCAATGGAGAAAGTTAAGAAAATTCTATACAAAATAAGAGAGACATAAAAAAACACATTTAACAGCATTAATTAGTGAGCAATATTTGCCATAATTTTTATACACTGAATACAACAGTAACATAAATTGGTATGACTCTATAAAATATTCAAAAGTCTTTTGCTGAAATTTTTCTTACACCAACCTTCATCCAAGACTCCTTCTTCTACGTTATCATCTTCACTGAAGTCAATATAGGCCTCAACATTTGCAACACACTAAAAGAAATTTAAAAAATATAAACCAAAAAAGTTCTTATTAGCAAAAGCATTTCATTTTTAGCCTTGTTTAGCACAAACCTTTTCAAAAGCAATTATTCTCATATTTTTAAGTGTCAATTGACATGATAATGCAAAGCAGAGAAACAAAACTAAAGTTGGACAAGAGGGAATTCGCCTTATTAAAAAAATGGTGGTGGTGGTAGGGTGGG